GTACATATTTTATTGTTAAAAATTATCATTCCGTTTTCTAATGCATTTGGTAAAATGTTCCACCAGTCTCATGATTCTGTTTTGTATAATATTTTCAATTGTGCCATTTTGGTCCGCTCCTTTTCGTAATTAATTTTCATATCAAGTGTAATTACATCAAGTGTGCCTTTTGGTTATTCTAAATACGCTCCTCGACCTAAACACATGTAACAGTCCTTGGGGGCATTGAACGTGCACCAAAAACACCGGACGTTCTTCTGTGTTTCTCGGATTCTAGCCGCATTTTAGTAAATGTCCCCTGACGCATTCGTTTATCGAACTTCAATCCAATTAAATTCCTTTATTACAGCAAAGAGCCTATGACAGCAAATACTAATACAAACATACAGCGAAAATACAAATTAAATACAAAAACAAATAAACTACCAATGTAAACACTAATATAAATATAAAACACTAAAAAATACTAAAACAATGCAAGGAAACAAAATAAAAGCATTTCAATAGTTTTCATAATATCTGGGAAACCAAATGAGTCCAAAGTTCGTGTTTGTTCCATTCTTTCAATCCGGCAGCCATATTAAACGTGTCACTGTGTTCTCGTTAATTACTGAAAGTAAGTTATCTAAACATACAAGCCAGGCGCACATATGACGAACCATTTGTTTCGACCACAAGTCGTCCATTGCACATAATATGATACTTGTCACTACACGACAAGCCAGATATGTCCATTGGTGCAACGTTTTACGTTCTGATTACATAATTTGAATTCGTTTTTACCAACGTAATGTTTCATTTTATATCCGTTTAGTGCTATTTCATCTCAGTGATCAAAGGACGTTTATAGGCCAGACACGGTTCCCATTGCCTTCTTCTGTGTGAGAATGGAGTAATTGTTGGGATGCCACGGAGGAAAACTCCGTGTTGCCTAGACCACGGCCTCGCCCAACACAAGTTATAAATTCGGGCACCGCCGGGAATCGAACCCGAGACCCCAGGATTACAAGGTCAGCGTTCTAACCGCTAGACCACCGTGGCTATACGTTCTGATTACATCATTTGAATTCGTTTTTACCAACGTAATGTTTCATTTTATATCCATTTAGTGCTATTTCATATCAGTGATCAAAGGACGTAATAGGCCAGACACGGTTGCATCTCTGTCACGTGACGATAATCCCGGATTTTATTCTGAATTGATTTTGCTTATTATGAAACCACAGCATCAGGGATTACGTACATTGATCTGAAAAGGTTTGCTTTTATCGGTACTAATAGTTTTTTGTCTGACAGGGATTAATAAACTGCTTACGCCGACTGGGGCGAATGCACAAAGCAAGAATTGCAGGTGACAAATACTAAGCTCTACATTAGTTTAAATGTGAATGAAATGAGGGTTTTCTGTATTATTCTGGTGTTTGGATGATGTTTTGTTCTGGTGCTAATTAAATCGTTAGATGTGTAAAGGTAATGATACTTAATTAGTGATAACTGAAACTGGTAATAATTAATTTGCTTATTTGTTCTTTAGCGTGAAACTGAATCCTGTCATCTGTGTGGAAAGAAAATAATTAAGTCCGAGTTAGTAGAATTAAGAAAACATTGGCTCTATGAGGGAAGATACATTCGACGATAACAAATCGAGGAAAAGAGTGGGAGGAATAGGACAAAGGGGGGTAAGAATTGAAGAGGGAACGACGAAATAACCCGCTATGCTCCACATACAATGGCTAGTTCTTCTGTCAACAATCTTGAAGTGACACGTGGGCTAGTGCGCAGTTTTACTCAGGCAGCAATTTTTACTAACTTAATATTTGAAACTGTTTGGTGCAAATAAGTTACAGATTATTAGTAAGACATTTTCTTGTTGTTATTGTATTATTATTATATATTGGAATAACATGTTAATTATTTACAGATTTGTATTCCTTAAATTTGCATGCGAAAGTTATTATTTTCGGAACAAATGAAAATAATTAAATGACATTTTTAGGTCCTTGGAGACCATCTTCTGACTTCTCGCATACGAAAACGTATATCGATGTTATTCAATTTAATTTAATAGTGATAGTTTAAAACTGAGTGGGTGTGAACTATTTTGTCGTGATTCTTTAAAACATGATTACGTAAAAGCTAATATAAAATCTTTGATAATACTTTAAATACAGTTTTTTAAAGCTCAAAGAAGTATTTTCAGTCTTTGTTTAATGTAATTCTGTCACACATGAAAAGGAGTAGCATATGAATTTTCACTTACATCAGATGGTAAATTTTAGGTGAAGTTAATTATCAGAATTGAGCACGGAGTAGAAGCTTAATATCAGAGAGGAACATGTGTTGCCCTTGTGTTGAGAGAACAAGTTGTCAGCCTGTCTGCATGGCTCAAAACTTTATTTTTTACAAAAAAGAGCATTAAAATAAATAAATAAAAAACGACAAAACAATTATTTACACAAATTTAATAAAATATCCAATTATAATAAATATTTCAAACACACAAAAAAGAAAATTTAGAACGGATGTAACCTGCATAGTAAACGAAGAAATTCACAACTGCTTTTCTTTCTTTACTGAGTGTAAATACGCCATTGAATACATTAATTTGCGAAACCCAACAAGGACAGTCAGGTCGGAAGCGTGCAACACAACTACAAGACACTGACGTCTGGGGAGGACTGGTGCTTATAGCAGTGCCATCGTCAAACAATGAGCAGCAAAGCTGACAGGAATCCCCAATCCCTCAAGTTCTTGAACAATATCAAACTTCCCGTTTCTTCATTGTCTCAGTGGATCTCAACAAATTATGTAGACGCTTTGTCGTATTTGCCCTGTCCTTTGTCAGCATCAAGCTCCCTAAGTCCTGAACCTTAGAATGTACTATTACGGCAATAAAGTACATCGAATTAGAAGCAGAAATCTTGATTTAAGGGCATTTTAGACGCCCGCAGCGTCTAAGTTTACCCTTGTGATGTATGGTGAAATGTCTTTGCAAACACTTCCTCCGTGTCCGCCCACTATTCACAATACACCTATAATATTTCGGCGATGTCACCGTAATTGACGCCGATTTGCAGCCGAGGTGGTCTCGGTACACATTTGTAGGACTACGATCACCTTCGTCCATCGCAAGTAATTTTTGCAGATGTGGAGTAAACCTCCTTATAATGAAACTGGAGGTAACTGGACTTGTCCATCGCCGCGGGAACTTTCTGTCAGCGGCATTCATTACCGGCACTTCAGTCAATCCACATGTGTGTTAATACACGGTGAAGGAAATATATAAAAACAACTTTTATTTCCGTTTCAGACATGTTCCGTTGAAGACTGCCACGAACACGAACTTTGATACTCATACGGGAAAAGCTGTTCAGTAAACTGGGATGTCTCAGAAGGTAAATTAATTTAATTCAGAGAAGGTACGAGGGTCGCTCATTAAGTAATGCCCCACATTTTTTTTCTCAGCCAATAATGAAGATAGAAAAGTGCACTTTTACATGCTTGAGATTTGATGT